AAAAAGCTGCCAAAGCCAAGAGACACTCCTTAAGCTTTGCCTGACCAATTTGTAAGGGAAACGGGATTGAAAAACTGAACAAGCTGGTCCCGTTTATGAGGAAAACCGGACCAAAAACCATACACGTATAACAAGTGTAAAGGAAGAAGAAAGAAAAAAGATGCCGAAGACTAGGCACACCTAGCTAACAGACAGAAAGACTATCACCACGAAAGACACAAGTATATGTGGGGTGTCGTCGAGGGATCACAATACCGGGACTTTGCAAAAGCCTAACGCACCACACTGGACTGCGTGCCGAGCCCCACGACACAACTCAGGAGCATCCACAACCAACAAGAGCAGTAGAACGAACCTTGACTGGGACCTCCACCATGGAAAATCAGAACGATTAGCAAGCTGGGGAGACATTTTGCGCCATTAGTGGGCAAAGATGAACCGAGACATCACCAAGAGCACAAAGCTTGTCGTAACACCTCGGCAACCGTGGGAAGGGTCTTGAGCACAGCACCAGGGCGATACTCATTCACGAGGGGATACAGATGGCTGGCCTGCGGCACATGAAGCACCGCCGCCGAACCCCAAAGAACACCACCGAACAACCATCGTCAATCCCAAGCAGCTGCACCACCACCAGCACCATCACCACCACAGTGAGCAACAAACACCTCATCGACCATGCAGCCCTAAAGATGAAGCCTTCAAGAAGGCCCACGACGCCGATTATGCCGACATCATCCATACAAAGAAGACATGGACTAGGGGTTCCCCCCGGGGTGCCAACGAGGAGGATTAAACAACATGACAACGATGCCTCCAAGAAGGTTAGCGACGCCCACGAGCGCCGCCGTCGTCGGCTCCGGATGAAGCAAGGCTTTCACACCAGTTGATCAGACACCTCTCGAAGAAGTGGTTGAGTGACTTGGTCGCCCCTTATATTCTTGTCTCTCCTTAGGTTCAAGTAAGCTTTCCTGCTACCTATTCTCCACTATGTTATTTCTAGGATATTAGGATGATGTTGGTTGGTGTCATCTCTAGTTACCCCCCATGTCTCTATAACCTCCATCTACAGATGCCTGCTTAGAAGTCTCTGGATTAGGTGGTTGTGTGGTGTGGTGACAAATGGATTGCTCATTGCTTCTTGATGGCATCTACTTAATCAAGGGGTTATTTCTCCTACTTCATGCAAGCAGCTAATCAAGATTTTTGGCGTCGGGGTTCTGCAAAATCTAGTACCTACTCCAGGGAATTTTTGGAGGCTTGTGGTCATGTTGTTGTTATTTGCTGGTGGCAGCCAGCACATCAGCGATGGCGTATGTGTCTATCGATAACAGTGAGAAAGGCAGAATGTGTCGTGATCTAGGTGAAAAGTTGTGATGTCCTTTATACTACTTGGTCACACGTCTCCCTTGTGCTTACACATGTATCCTTTTCTTTCTATGGGCTCCCACGTGTTTGATGGTGTTATAATCTGGCGATGGAGTCAAAATTACTCCGTCGTGTATCAATTAAGCAGGAAACTACGGGAAAAAAACAATGTGCTTACATTTATGTTCCTTGATTTTTCTAAAAATAACATGGATCTACAATGGTCAACCTTTTTATCGCACACTTGTAGGTACTTAAAAGAAAGACAACATTAATGTATGGATAAACTAGCAATAATGAAATTGATTAAGAGCACGTCTTACATCTATACCATATAAGTTTGGGAATGGAAACCACAATGAGGAAGCATTTATAGTGTAGTGTGGCTGCCTAGGTAACTTTTGTTCTCAGATCTCTGCTCTACTCCTCACCCACCTCCAGAAAAAATTTGGCGTGAGACACACACACAGGAGTTTTCTTTCCCCAAAGGCCAGCCAGGATGCAGGGCACCGCCGCGGCCGCCGAGGGGAGGAGCAGGGCGTCTCCTGACAAGGCCGTCGAGAGCTCTAAGAAGGCGCGGTTGGACCTGGCCGACGGACACATGAAGCAAGAGGCGGCCGGTGCAGGAGATGGAGGCCCCATCGTCGGGGCGGCGTACATCCCGCGAGTGGAACTTGCTGTGAGGATCGACAAGCAAGTGCTCCACTGCCCCCTCTGCACCCTCCCCTTCAAGCCCCCGGTCTTCCAGGTTCCTCTCTCTGTTTCCTTCTTTATTCCTCGATTAGCATCGGTGAAAGATCGATTCTTTCGTGCTAATTTACGGGCCCTCTCCGATTTGTGTGTCTGCCTGCAGTGCAAAGCGGGGCACCCGGCCTGCGGCGGCTGCGTGGCCCTGCTGCCCTTCGGGCAGTGCAAGGCGTGCGTGGACGGCGTCGGATTCCTCGACCCCTGCCCTGCGTTTGATGTCGTGGTGTCCTCCACCAGGATCGGGTGCTCCAACGCCGGCTGCCAGTGGTACGTGACCTACCACGAGGTCGCCGAGCACCAGAAAGCATGCCCGCACGCGCCCTGTCAGTGCACTGAGCCCGGCTGTAGCTACGTCGGCGCGGCACAGGCGCTCGCCGGTCACCTCCACACCGTCCACTTGGTGCCGGTGCGCGTCGTGCAGTACGGCAAGGTTAGCAAGCTTCAGCTACCGGTGTCGACCACGCGGCTGGTGCTCCTCGGCGATGATAACTGTGTGTTCCTCATGACCATGGGCGCGCTCGGCGCCGGCGTGACCGCCGTGTCTGTGGTGTGCGCCACGGCAAGAGCGGCGACGCGGCCGCGGTTCACGTGCAAGATGTGGGTCAACCTGGAGCCACCCCCGGCAGCAGCGGCGAACTGCGGCAAGCAGGACATGGTGCTTGTGGACATGGACATGAGGAGTAGCTCGTCACCCGGCCCCGTGGTTGCCGCGGGCGAGCCCACGTTCCTGACGGTGCCGCCAATGTACCTGGTGCCAGCAGCAGGAGACGGGGCGTCCATGGAAGTTCCCCTGCACATCCGCATTGATAAGCTCTCCCCTTGGTCCGACACATTGGTTTGATTAGGTCCGCTGCTGTTGATTGGAAACAAACGATGCATTCAGAGCTGTTCGTGCTTAATTTGGAGTTGCAGCTGAAACTATTTGGGCGATGTTAATTAGTAGATGCAGTTCATCTTTAATGTCATTGTTGGGTACTGTATTCAAATCGGAGGATATTATGCTTCGTGTTAATCATGTTGTGAAATGCATCTTCTTTCGTTGTTATGTCATTCCAACTTGTAAGCATTTCATTTGCATCTGTTGCAATCTATATATCTCAAGTCAGGAGTAGAGTTCAGTCTCATGTCAAGAAATGTTATCCATGCTACCAAAGCAATGCTTAATGCAGGTTTACTGGAGAATAGTGAGGAACAAAGGAGGCCTTCTGTCAAAGAAATCTGCCAAGCAGGATACCTAGCCAATGTTGATGCAGCATAGAGAGTATAACCATGCAGCAATTCGTGATGAAGCTTCTCTCAAAGTCTTCCTAAGGAATGAATCAAACCCATCTCCTTCCAAAGGGGTAAACTTATCTCTGTACATTGCTTAAACTCCTAATAATAAAGTGTTAAGCCCTCTTTGAGGGCTGCAGTCTTCCAAAAAAAGCTAGTAACTTCTACTACACTGGCCATAATTCTTTTCTAGATGAATGAGCTTTCTGAGCCAAAAAATAAAAATCTATTTTCCAACAAAATAATATTTTGATATTAAAATGAAAACAAGTCATCGGACACTATAAGTGTAAACATCTATTTACAAATGGAATGGCGGCCGAGAGTTACCCTAGCAACCCATTGGTGTTGACTGATGGGCATGACACGCATTTGGACAACTCCCAACTTTTAGATCTGATTCAGTGACATTTTATTTATTTTTTGGTTTTATTGACAGTAGAAGATTACGCTAGCTAATGGAGCATGAAAAATCTTTCTTTTTTAGTTGCCCCTCTTGATTTTGTGCACGACGCAGGTCGGCGTATTTAAAACTGGGGTACCCCGAGCGTAACTACAACAGATGGACCTGCCCAAAAAGCCACGTTGGTAAGGTTTTTAATTTAGGTCATGGAAATTGTTTGGACGTTACCGGAGTATGCAAAATTTCGGAAATTGAGAACTTATTTTGGATTTTGAGTTTCAAAAATCAATATTTTTAAATGATTTTTAAGCTAATTTAAATTTTAGTTTGAATTTGGCTCAGAATTTCAGGGTTGCAAGTATTTCGATCCCCACCGAAATATGCAAAATTTCGCTAAAATTTTGAACCCTCATTACAATAAGAAACTACAATAAATCCTCTTCACAATTAGTACTACAACATCCAGAAGGAGCCAATGGCGTGACGGCATGCATACCTTTGTGTAGTGACGTTTTGGGACGATGCTAGGTGTCCCGAACACGGGCCTCCCCAGCACACATGCCTCGTGTGCAAACAGCTTTCACAGAGGCCGTGTGAGGCCACGGTCCCGACCAAGCATTAATGTGAGTGCAGGCTATGGTGCATAGCCTACCACTGTTAGGGGTGACAAGTGTTGAGAAGTCCATCTCGATCATCAAGTACGACTTCCCCACACCGCCCACTCTCTGGGTCAAGGCTATCAACACCACATACTCCCGCATGGACTTCGTGGAGTTGCTCTTTCATGGGGACATCATGCAACATATATCTTTTTATATTACAGAGTGCGATATTAATTTTTTCTATTTGTCTCACGCAAGCGTTTGATTGCTAATATATGCATCTGTTTTTCTCATGCCTTTTCAGCATTAGTATTGATGGGTAATGGTATGATGCATCAAGCATGCCATGTTCTATGTATTAGTGATTTATCTTTTTCTTGAACCTCGGTAGGATTTAATTCGGCAGCAAACCGATTTTTTTAATCCCCAATTAAGCCTTTCACTTACTATATATGTTGTAGGTTATGATGCATTATACTCAGTGAGGTGCAATTACTTTCCTCTGACTTTGGAGTTGGGATGTTTCTGACAACATTATATAAAAGTTTGCAATTTGCTCCATCCAACAGGCTATGGAAAGGTGCCCTTCCCAATAGGTCATTATATATCTGCTGAATTTGAAGCCATGGACTGATATGTATTTGCAGAGTCTATGATATATATACCCATCTTTAAATATGTTCCCTACTATTTTTCTTTTCCTATTAACTAATTCATGAAATGATTCCCTGAGGTGGCCAAATACATTACGTATGTACAATGCATATGTGTGCTTCAATTTTCTCTGTTAACAACTGGAGATATTGATGTTAATTATAATAATTGGTCTTAATTGTTTCATTTGTCGGCGCACGTTTCTTGCCTATTGGATCTTGCCCATTTAAAGAAGGCATGGTAAATTATTGTTAGAGCTTGTTTCTTTGTTAGGTGCTTTTGTATCGCTTATTTATTCCAACCAGAATGTAGCAACATATATCAATAGATATATTTGTTTTCTTGCTTTTCCAAGAAGAACCGGCAGAAGAAGCTGAGGTCGCTGCTTTGAATCTTAAATAATTGTTTGCTATTAGCACAATATTTTGATGATCCATTGGTTGCAGAACTAAATTATGTATTAGTTTGCATCCATGCAGTAGGGGAAATATCTTGAATGCACTTCACATCTAGTTAACATTGATGGCCAGAGATAGCGATCATGTCTAATGTGGGAAAGGTGATACATTCATTATTTGTTTGTGAGACTCAATAATTGAAGGTGAGTCCTTTTTCCACTTTATCTGTTGGAGATGATTTCTGCGGATTTAGTGTTCAATGGAGCGGCTGGATGCTTTAGGATACGTCGTGCTTTACACCTGAAATACGCTTCAATTAGTTTTACTGTAAAATATTGCATCACTTAGTATTTATGATATATTACTTCAATCCATGGGACATTATTATTTAGAAATACGTAAAACTTAAATATACTTGCTTTTCAGTCAATGTTGTTCCAAACTAGCTCTGGTTGTTTGTTTTATTAATTCTAAGTTTCTGAACTTCTCATTCTTATATAGGTAAAAGAAAAGTTCCATATTGATGAGGATGATTCTTCATATGGAGTGTTACGGATCATGACAAATTGTAAGAGTGGGCCACAATTTACAAGTATTTGAACCATGTTTTTTGTTTGGATGCCTGGTGTCATTTCCCCTATCTTTGAATCTTGTTATGAATGGGATTCATTTTGGATCCTCACCAATCCATGATGTATGTATCAAATGGTTGTATGCATATTCTTGTGTGTTACTCAATATTCTCTCGGTATCATCTAAAGTTACTTAAAGAGTGAATCCAATGAACATCCATTGGCTTGGTGATTTTTTTCTAGGGGCGGGAACGACACCAACAGGTAGAGTAGCATGTATCGCCGGACAGACCCTGATTTCGTCATGGCAACGAGACAAGCATGAGCAGTTCACAACATTGCATTCATTTCTTTGCAGGGTCAAGTTTCAAAAGGAGAGTTGAGTAGAAAATACTTTGCATGTCATGTCTGTAGTCTACTGCACTAGCAGTACCATATGTTTTGCTTTGTTTGCTAGTTCGGGAAGGAGTATACTTACTTACTTTGCTGGGTTCTTGCTGATGCCTCTGCACTCCTGTACTGAAATTATCCTCTACTACTGTGGCATGTGATCCATTGCCTCGGGACATGGCCAATGCATAGCCCTAGGGTGATGCCCCATATGCCATGTAGAATTCGATGTCATGAGCAGTAGGTTACGATGGGGAAGCGGGATCCTCTGCGGGAGGCGGGTGCTTGCAGAGAAAAAGTCTGGTCCAGTGTAAAAAGCTGACAAAATTGAAGTGCTGAGTAGAGATGCATGTGTACTAGTCTCTACTTTCTATTCGTTGATGAGGCACACTAGTGATAACCTGCGTTGGGGAGAAAAATCAATGTAGCTGCCTCGAATTACTTTTTCTCATGAGACATATGTATCCACATGCCACCACTGTTCATGCCCTCAGTAGGCATGCAGCTTTGGCCTGTGTAGTGCTGTGTGACGGATGTGTGAGACAGGGGAAACTGATTAAATCTCTTCTATTTGATAAGGGAGGAGCCTCGGTATAAACCAGATTCTTACTTTCTAGTATAGTCCAAATGCATCATCCTTTCAAATAAGATTGTGTTTTATTGCTCATGTGAAAATTGCACTCTATTAAGGCAAGTCGATGAAAACGGACCTCACTAAATGTCCGTGGACATGTACAGCGGCTTGTTCTGACGGGTTCTATCTCAAGTCAAGAGTAGAGCTCAATCTCATGTAAGAAATGCATGCATTTTGTGTACTCCATTGCTATCTGATTGAACCTTTTTTTCCCTGCATAATAAAATGTTGTGTTCAACTAGTAACTTCTACTACACGTGGCCATAATTCTTTTTGTTATGGCTGACCTTTATGAGATGAAAAATCAATTTTCTAACAAAATAATCTTTCTATATTAAAATAGAAACAAGTCATCGACACCAAACCAATCTACTTACAAACTGGATGGCAGACAGACTTATCCTACCAAAATATTGGTATTCACGTGGCTGCAACATCCTTCGTCTGTGAATTTGCACACGTTACAGAAGGGAGGGTGCACGCACAATCCAGAAGGGCCCCTAAATGCCCAAATCACTTATGACGCACCATAGGACCATAGGGATCACCACCATGTCGTAGTTACATGACACCGTCACCATCGCCCACTGCCCGGCCTCTTCCTGGTGCTGCTCCTCTGAGAAGGAGAGCATGCCACACTTCGACAGTCCACGCGAAGGGCCGGGCCGGGGAAGAAACCCTTGGCCTTTGCTTTTCTGAAATGCACGCAATCATAAATTTATTAAAATAGAAAGAAGGAAATGAAACTAATGGCAGTCGGAAGTAACCTTACTACTTCATGCAAGCAACTAATCAAGATGTTTGGCGTCGGGGGTCTCCAAAATCTAGTACCTATTCCATGGATCTTTTGGAGGCTTGTGGTCTACGTTGTTGTTATTTGTTGGTGGCAGCCAGCACATCAGCGATGACGTATGTG